AATGCTCCATTATGTATATATACCACATTTTCTTGATCTATTCAACAGTTGTAAGGCATCTGTACTGTTTTAAAAGCTTGGCTATTGTAAATAGTGCTGCAATAAACCAATAAACATGGGAGTATCTCTACTCTATCCTGACTTACATTCTTTTGGACATTTGCCAGAAGTGGTATCACTGGATCATATGGTAAGTCGTAGGTCTGTTTTTAGTTGTTGTTATTTTTTTTTTCCATACTGCTTTTCATAGTGGCTGCACTAATTTACATTCCCACCCATAGCGGATAAGGGTTTCCCCCCCCCCCCACCCCCCACCCCCCGCAACCTCCCACCCCATCCTCACCAGCATTTGTTTTTGTTTGTGTTTTTGATAATAGCCATTCTGACTGGAGTGAGGTGAAATCTCAGTGTCATTTTATTCTGCATTTCATTTATGCCCAAGAATGCTTAACGTTTCTTCATAAGTTTATTTGCTATTTGTATTTCTTCTTTTGAGAATGGTCTGTTCAGTTCATTTGTCTATTTATTCACTGGGTTATTGATTCTTTGGGGAGTTAGTTTTTTTCAACTCTTTGTATATGCTGGTTATTAATCTCTTGACAGATGTATACCTGGCAAAGATTTTCTCCCATTCTATGAGCTTTGTAGTGTAATGATTATTTTCTTTGCTGTGCAGAAGCTTTTTGTTCGATGCAGTCCCACTTGTCAATCCTTTCTCTTATTTGTTGAGCTATTAGAGTTCTGTTCAGACATAGTCATTGCCTATGTCTATGTTCTAGTGTTTTACTATTCTTTCCTGTAGTAGTTTTAAAGTTTCAGGTCTTATGTTAAAATCTTTGATTCATTTCAAATTTATATTAGCACAGGTTGAGAGTCTGGATCTTTATGTGTGGATATGCAAGATATGTAGCTTTCCTAACACCACTTGTTGAAGAGTCTGTCCTTTGTCTAATATGTGTTTTGGGATTCTGTATCAAAAATCAAATGTCTACATGCACTACTTCCTCAATCTTGTCCTCTATCTCTGACATTCTTTCTTCTGCTTGATCTTGTCTGCTGATAATACTATCCACAGTGGTTTTTATTTTATTTATTGAGGTTTTCATTTCTAACATTTCTGCCTATTTTTTTCCTTCCCATTTTCTCGCTGAATTTTTCTATGCATGTTCCTGACTTTGTTGTCTAGGTCTTGAATTGATTTCCTAACTTCATTTATCTGTTTATTTGAATCTTCTTTGAGGTCATTGATCATTTTTAGAGATAGGTTTCTGAATTCTCTCTGACATTCCAGCCAATTCATTATCTCTGGATTCAGTTATTGAGTTGTTGTGAGAGTTTGGTGGAGTAACATTGCTTTGGCTTTTGCATTTAAATTTCTACCCTGAGATTTGCACATTTATTGGCCTAAGTTTCTCTTTTAGTTCCTACATATGTGGGAGAACCTACTATAGTAATAAGGTCAACTATTCAGTAATAAACTAAATATTTGAATGAAACAATTAGAACCCTATCTGCCGCAAATTAGTTTCTGCTGGGTAGAGAGGGGGTGGGGAAGAAGGGGGGGGTAAGAGAGGGGGTGGGGGAAGGGGGGAGAAATGACCCAAACATTGTATGCAAATATGAAGAAAAAAAAAAGAACCCTATCTGCCTTCCCAATAATGTTTGCATGGGAACAAAACTCTGGATCCTAGGGGGATGCCTTGGGAACTTAACACTGTTTGAGAGATACATGAATTGGAAATTGAGTAATATAAGGAATGAGAATGGGAAGAGAAGAGAGTAGGAAGATAGGGAGAAAGTAGGTATAGGAGATAATAATATGACAGAGCATTGTGTAGTTATAACAGAAATGGGGAATGGTTTGGGACATAAGGAGAAAAAAGGTTAAGAAGTAAAAGGATTTTTAACAAAAAGAAATCAAAAGTTAAAAAAAAAAAAAAGAGAAACAACCAAAAAGAACCCAACAAATTTATTTTTCACTGAATAGTGTTGAGGGCTGGTATGTGGCTCAAGTGGTATAGCACCTACCTAACAAGTTCAAGGCCCTCACCTACTCACACTCATACACACATTTATACACACACCTTCTCATGCACACCTTATACACACTCACACAAACACTGTCACACATTCTTACACGTTCTTCTACATATGTTTATACAACATCACATAAAAACACATTCCCTTTTTTTCTCTGTTTCTTTCACACACACATAGTGGAGGAAATTAGGGTAAAGGCGCCCACTCCTTGTGCAGTTGATTTTTGGCGTGGGGGGAGTGGGAACTTGAGCATGGAAAGAATGTGGCACCTTTGTCAAAAAAAAAGAAAGAAGCAACTTTACATTGCCTCTACATATTTTAAATATTAGAAACTTATGCAAATGATGTTGACTTTCATTTCAATTTATTTTTTCCCCATTATAATAAATGAAATTCTCTCCTTAAAAAACAAACAAACAAACAAACAAAAACCAAGTTCAAGGCCCTGAGTTCAAACCCCAGTACCCCACACACACATAAAATTGAAATAGAAGTGTTGATTTCACTCAAGTTCAGCTCTCTTGCTGTGGTTGTTATGGGAGCAGCTTCAGAAGGGCCAAGTTGTGCCTCTGGAGGTTTTCAGCCTGCCAGGCTGGTTTTTCCAGTAAGGAGGTTTTTGCAACAGGTGGAAATTCCTAGCTTCTGGTGCAGGTAAGGTTGCACAGACTGGGGTGGGGAGAGGGAGGTGCAACTTGAACTGTGTGGGTGACACACTCCAGGGCAATAGTCTTAACAAAGCCCTTTGTCAATGGAGTTGTTTTGGGACTGCGTGGCCTGGCCTCCATAACAGATATGGAGTGGGACTTCCTATTGAATTGCTGAGAGATCTGAGAGGCAGGACCATTCACTCAGTGGGTGGCAGCTAGGAAGCTGACACCCTCCACCTCTGCTCCCAATTTCACAGCTCTAGCACTTCATTCCTGTAAAGCATACAGCTCTCATGGTGCACTCCTCTCAAGCTGCACTCCCATAACTCAGTGTCTCTGAAGAATCTAAACCCCACCAGCTTGCTGTGTCCACACTGAGTCTCAGTTGTTCTGTCTCACCGAGCCCCTGTGAGGATATTGGCCTTGTAGAAGGTATGGACTTTTTCAGCAACTGGTAATGCAGGCTTGCCCTCCCTTTGCTTTCCTTACCTTCTATTGGAGTCTTCAGCTCCCCTCCCCTACCTAATTGGGGTTGGCTTGGGCTTGGGAAATGCTGTTTTTCTTTGATACATATGATTCTTCTTGCTTTTCTGGTGACCAGCCACATCTTTCATGGGCCACAAAGCTCTTCCTTTCCTTTTCTCTTCTGAATATCATGTCTCTTTAGTTTTAGTTATCTGACTTTTCTCATCCATGGAGTCAAAACACAAAACAGTGGATACTTGAGATCGTCTTGCTACATAGCCCAGGTTGGCCTCGAACTCTGTTCTCCTGCCTCAGCTGGTTAGGGTGGGAGGGGAAACTGGGTTATCTGGTAGACTCATCTCTGTTCTGTGAGAAGGCAGATTCGTAGTGGGTCTCCTAATTCCATTAGGAGTGTTGTGAAAACACTCCTTGGTCTGTGTAATGTCCTATAAATTTCTCACTTTTAGCTTTCAACCTTCAGTATACCTTCTGTCTATTTCCTTGTATTGATCCATGGTAAAGCTTTTAATATGATATTTGCCTGGGGGTTCTTAATCTTCAGCAGTCATAAGGATCAGTCTGTAGACAGCTTTGGGGGAAGAGGAGATGTCTCTCTCAGCTTGGTGTCCACAGCTGAAGGCGCTGGGAAGTGGGTTTAGCTCAGGGCCTGCTGCAGGAGAGCTAGAGGACAGACTAGATCTGCCAAGTCCCCAGGAGTTTGATGTGCCCAGCATCTTTTCTCTTTCCTCTCTCCCCTCATTAATCCTGTATGTTTTATACACCTGCCACTTCCTTCACCCCTGAGTCTGTTCTTTCACTTCTCTGCTCCAAAACCTTCAATGGCTTACTGCTGCCTTTTCACATTTGAAACTTCTTAGTTATGTGCTCAAGACTCCTTTGCTCTTACATAGAGATCATCTGTTTCCCTTCTAAAAGTTAAAACTAGTTTTTGTGCACCTGAAAGCTTTACTGTTTTTGTGGTTTGCAGAATAATTTTGTCGGGGTTGGGGCTGATGTTGTTTGAGGCTTTACTCAAAGCTATTTGATGTTTAATTGCTTGCTCAGGAAGAAGTTTTGGCTCTGTTGATTTAGTAGTCTGGACAACTATGTAAAATCAGCATAAGGGCCAGGTACTGGTGGTTTACGCCTGTAATCCAGCTACTCAGGGGGCAGAGATCAGGAGGATCTCATCACTTCAAAGCCAGCCTGGGCAAATAGTTTATAAGACCCTATCTCAAAAAACCCGTCATAAAAAAGGGCTGATGGAATGACTCGAGGTATAGGCCCTGACTGGGTTTAGACCCTAGTACCGTAATAAATAAACAAAATACAATCAGCATATGGCTCAAAAATAAAGGCCCAGTAAATAGGCCAGAAAGAGGGTCATAAAAGCAGATGAAGAATTATGTGTATTTAAACCCTTGGGTAGCCTTGAACTGTTGGCCAGTTTGGTTCTGTAACACAGTGCATTTGAGTGAACTGTGAGCTTGAGTGAATAAGTCAAAGGTCATTGTCCTCAGGTACCAGCTGTCAAGTTTAGCTAGAAATTAGCTAATGTGTAAACTTGCCTTGAGGCTGTTCTAACTTGCTTCATCTTTCTAGTTAAAGGGAGTAACTTTATCTAAGTCTGCTGACCATCAATGTTTAACTGAACTGTTGATGTTTTCTTTTGGAAAACCAGCCTTGTTGGGTATCCTCATGGTGAAGGAGAAGGTATTTTTAAAGTTGTCTATGTGAGAAAGGTTTTGATTTGACCTGGGAATAGAACCACTATTTTGAGGTCCTTTCGGTCAGCATGGCCTTGGCCAATGTTGCTCACTAACTCTGCCTCTTCCCTCTGCTCCACAGACTAATGAGTGGAACAAGAACGATGACCGCCTGCTGCAGGCCATTGAGAATGGAGATGCAGAGAAAGTGGCCTCGCTGCTGGGCAAGAAGGGGGCCAACGCCACCAAGCACGACAGCGAGGGCAAGACTGCGTAAGCGAAAACATTGGTTTCCCCCTCTGTTCATTCAGGGTTTTCAGAGTATTCTCTGGAATCCTTTCTTGGTGCCAAGCAGAGTTTCACAAGTGCTTCATGGGGACTTTGTGAAATTACTGTATTGCTCCCTCCCATTCTTGTGTTAAAATATGTGGTGAAAATGTATCTTTTTCCTATCCCTTCCAACTCCAAATTACACATTGAGCCCTCCCATAGGCAGCGTGTGATGTCTGTCTTAGATAAGAAGCAACATAAAAAGGAAAATAAGTTTTCCCATTACCCTCAAACATTACTATTTATATTATAATTTATTAACTTCCTTCTTATGAGTACTATAATACTATTTTGTTTCATGGATTGCCATACATCAAACTCATTCTCACCATAATTAAAACTGTATTCAAGTAGTGGGGTGTGGGTGTGGGTGTGGGTGTGCGTGCATGTGTATTGTGTGTACTTAGGTGTTTATATACATCTTTACCCTGGTAGTATTGTAGAGAGATCAGTGACTTTGGAGACAGTTAGACTTCTCATTTGGACCCTACCACTTAGGAGTTATGTAATCTTTGAACCTCACTTTCCCCACTGTAAAATGGAGATATATTTAATTGCTACAATAGCTATGAGTATAAAATGAGATACTGGTGTGGGTTGAGTGCCTGCAAGCATTTTGTGCCAATAGTTCCTATTACCAGAGATCCCAGGAAGCATGGGAAAGGAAGAAGCCTATATGTAGGGTTTGTTATTGACAGGTTCCCGTTCTGGGTAACTGGGGTGCTTTTCTGTGTAGACTTAGAGCATCATCCATGGCTGTTCCTGCACTACAAAGGCAGAATTGAGTAGTTACAACAGAGTCCATATGGCTAACAAAGGCCGAAATATTTACTGTCTGGACTTTTGCAAAAATCGCTTTGCTTACCTTAAGTTTAGGAAAGAGAAGGAAAGTGTGGCATCTGCCCCTGATGTCCTGTTCCTCAGAGGTTGAGTACTGCTCATGGGGACCACAGTGCTGAGGGCTAGTAAAGGTCCAAGAGAGGGTCAGGGGAGTGTGGCTCAAGTGGTGCAGCATCTGTCTTGCAAGCATGAGGCCCTGAGTTCAAACCCCAGTGCCACCAAAAAAATAAAAAACTTCCAAGAGCCCACGTAGGGCACCCATGATTACAGGTACTCTATAGAAAGAGCTAGCACAGTTCCTAGCTCTCAGTAGGCACTTGATAAACCAAGTTCCCTTCCCTTCTTATCCTAGACTATTAGTTCTTGGTACCGGGAGCTGCTGCATTACAATTCCTGAGACTGCTTTAATAAGACAATACCATGGTGACGCGTGAGTCATCATGACATTCTGAATCACTTGGTCTAGGGAAGGCATTGGAGTTGATATCTTGATATTTCTGTTTTTAGACACTTGCCTACTTTGTGTATCACTGTACACCCTTCTTGGTACCTATTACCCTCACTACAGCTTTCTAGGTGTCTGTATAAGACAACCTCTTATAGTCATTCTAGCGAAAGGGGAGATAAATGGTGGTCTTGTCCAAGACAGAACTCAATATAAAGAAGATAGAAAGTTTAGATTAGGAACTTGGCATCATGTCGCATCCCAAAGATCCTATAGATTCTCACTTCCCTGGTGATCATGATATGGATGAGCAGGATGAGCACTTGTTATATAAGCCTAACCAGAGCTTTGATTTAGCAGGCAGATTCTGACACAATCTGTCAGACTCAGATGAGCCTCAACCAGGGATTGGGGAAGTAGAGGATATTGAGCATGCAGCCAAGTCAATGTTTGACTCTACACGTTGATCCATGTTTCATCCAGTAACTCCAAGCCTTGTATTCCTTTGCTTTTTCTTTCATGGACTTCATGAGTCATTATTATCTGTTGGTGTACAGAAGGAATCAAATTTGCTGACCCCTACTGGGGGCAAATCCAGAACTAAGACACTGTATGATGCCAACTATCCAGGGAAAACACCCCAGTTTTCTGCTATTGAGATGTCATCTATATTAAGACACCTTAAGAGAGCCAATGGTCTGAAAATCTGGAAAAGATTCAAGACTTTGATGGTCTCACTGTATCAGCCCACATATGGAGACAGTGGTACAATGCTGATGAACTAGAATGCAGGAGCAGCAATTGATTGGATCAATGCAAGACCATGGGTTGTATTTGCTCTACTCACTGTGTTGTTTGAATCACCAGGCAAGGAGCTCCTGGATCAAGTGAAACTCATGGCTAGAGAAATCATGGATGATAACATATTACATTATCCATATGTACTTGGACCAATGCATGGATGGTACATTGGCCCTACCTGCTGTTTTGAGTGGGATTGTGGTGTTTGAAGATAAAGCCAAGTCTGTTCAAAAGATGCTCGGACAGTTATTTGAGTATGGTGCTGCCATATGTCATCCTGCAATGCTTAGCCCCTCGAGTCTTCCCGAATCTCTCAACAGCAGCAAACAACTGGGCCAGATGTCACATTCTGGCACACTCGGGCTTCAAGGCTCCAGATGTGACTCCAGGAGCAAGTATCACGATTGTTGTTCTCCAGATGGCAGGAATCAGGGAGATTTTTCATGGGTTTAGGAGTGGAGAAATGGACCCACACACTCTTAATATCCTTAAGAGATATGGTATTACTGGGTTTGAATAAATGTGAGGTAAAAAAGAGAAAGAGAGAGAGAGAGAGAAAGTTTAGATTAGCAGCTTAGTCACCATTATAATCACCTGAACAAATTTGTATCCTTTGTTCCTATTTATTATGTGTACAATAGATGATTAGAATACTATTTTCTATTCTGCCTTTCTTTTATTGTAGTAAAATATACATAACAGAATTTCTCATGTTTATGATTTTAAGTGATTCAGTGACATTAAGTACATATTCAGGATGGGCCTCCTGCCATTGGTATCTAGTTCTAGAGTTTTTATTATTTTTCTTTAATCACCCCAAAAGGAATCCTGTACCCATTAGTCAGCCACTCCCTAACTTCTCCTCTCCCTTCCAACCACGAATCTACTTGCTGTCTTTGTGGATTTGCTTATTCTGGATATTTCATATAAATGAAATCATGTCATATGTCCTTTTTGTTTCTGATTTCTTCCACTTAGCATGTTTCCAAGGTCCATCTATGTTGTAGCATGTGTCTTTTCATTTTGTTTTCTTTTACTGGTAGAAATGCACACAGCAGTTCTATAGAAATCACCACCTCCGTTTTGCTGATAAAACCAAGGCCCATGTAACAAAGCTGTCCCTGCACTAAGTCTCAAAACAACTCTCACACCTCTACCTGTGCACTTACAAGTCAGTTATTTTGTCATTCAGTGACATGTGTGGAAAGTTAGAAGAACTAATGAAGAAAGGAAGGGAGGAGGCAATTATTTTTTTCAGTGTAGGATTTTCCGTAAGTAATTGTCAACACTTCATTTTTCCGCTTAGGATATTCCTTTGGAGAACTAAAGCACCTGTAAGAATTTAATTTTTAAAAACAGCACAGAATTCAATCTTCTCTGACTTTATGTTTCCATTCAGATCTAAAGATTGGAGTGTTCAGAGTGAGATGGGGCTGTGAGACTGGAAACTATCTTCCTTATCTTTTTGGTATCGTATAAAAATGCAAAATCAAGTATTCTGTTGTAAAATGAGGCCCAAGTAGTATTGTGCCCTTGGCCCAGCCTTCTCACCTTTAGAAGCCAGCACTTACAGACTAAAGATTAGACAAATTTGTATATCCCTGCCTGAGTGCATGCTTGGATTTTGCCTAAACTATGGAAACTTTTCTGTTACTCCTCTTCTTTCCAGGTGCATTTGATTTGGTAGCATGTAAACTTGTAATCTTGAGGAGAAGCTCCAAATCTTTGACAATTCAGTGCTGGCCTTGAGTTGCCTCTTCTGCAGCTCTTGACTAGATTAGCCCATGGCCCTTGCAGGGGTCACATGTATCTGTGGACATGTAACAGATGTTTCACATATCTCTCTGAAGGGCAAGGCCACATCACATTCTTGAAAAGTAGGTCCTCGACAGTTATTTTCTGCCTGTTCCTTTGAGTTTACCCACTATTTTGCATAACTCCATATCAAAATTGGGCTGCAGGTCTATTGTTTTAGAGAGCTTTTGTGATAACCCATTTTATAATTTGGGGTAGGAATCTACAATGCAAAAAGTCCTGATTTTGGCATTCAAGGTCATCCCCCTGGCACTGCCCTTATCTAAACGTTCTTTCCTACCTTCTTCTGGAGGTGGGCTACCTATTCCTGACTCAGGTAAGAATATCCACATATTTGGCCAGGTTCTAAGTCTAGTTGTGTCCTCTGATTTTGAAAGAACAACAGAAATGCCTCCACTTAAGAAATACCTTTGTTTCCCAATGGACTTGAGTTTCCTACAAGAGAGTATAAGCTTCTAGGGGATAAAGATGATACCATTTTTGTTGTGTTGGTCTTTCCCAGTGTTGTAGGCATAAAGAATCCATTTAGTTGTTACTTATGGAAGTGAATTCTCTGTGTGGATCCTATGGGGAAAACAGTCTCTTTTTTACTGATAATAGCTGTTGGGTAAATTACCTAGGGTTGTGAATTAACTTGGGACTCAGCAAATGAGTGAATGTCACAACCTGTGCCCCTGTTTCCTGGGCAGATTCAGTAAAGAAACACTCAGCCTGTACCACTTGGAAAAGCAGACAGCCCACAAAGTCCCAAGAATGTGGCTGCAAAGGCAGCCATCTTTCAGAATTCTCCAGAAACCTCCATAGCCAAGGTCAGTGACCAGATGTGTGGTTTCTTAATTTCCTAAACTTTTCAGTTTCTTCTTGGAATATTTCCTGTTGGGGAAAGATAAGAAACCGTGTCAAAAATTTTCTCCCCCTAAGGCTGATCAAAGAAGGGTTAAAAAAAAGTAAAAGCAATTGAATGAGTGGAATTCATTTAGGAAAGAATAAGAGAAGGGTAGTGTCTTGGTTGGAAGAGAACAAAATAGAGCAGGGCAGAGAG